TGCTTTGGGTGCTTTTCTCTCTTTTTTGTTCAAATTTCGACAGTCGATAGAGTAGTTTATAACAAAAAATTGTTTTACTCCATTAAAATAATGAACCTTTATTGACAATTGATCAAAACTATATTTTACCTCCGGTTTTTTTTTAATTCGGGGGATTTGAAAATTGCCAATTTGGCTATGCTCTGGACTAATTTATTCGCAAAGTGAAGATTTCATTTCCGATGCCGAAAGCGAAACGCTAGTTTTGCTCTCGGTCAAGTAAAAATTTTACTGAATTTCGAAAAACATTGAAAACAGGCTTTTACAGAGTAAAATCTTGAATTTGCGCTTAATTTTGTCCATTTGTGTAAATAGACGTTTTTCAACGCCGAATAGAGTAACTTTAAATAGTCTATCTTTTTTCGGTGGCGTAAAAAAATAGTCAAGCTCATCGCCAAAGAACCAATTTGAAACCAATTGATCTTTCTTTTAATTGTTTTGCAAATGTTTCCACAACAAGAACAACTATAAATTAAATTATAATATACTGGCTACTTTATGCCTTCAAAAAATGATTTCTCAAGATTTTACTTGACTAAATCTTTTCCAATAATTGCATCTAGCACTTGTCAAAAGGTTGATCCTTTATTATAAGTAGTCGCACATAAAAAGGCAAAACATGAAGAAAATATTAGTTTTATCGTAAGATACTTGTCAAAACGGTATAAGTATTTAGAAGCTTGAATATACGGATCTTTTTTTCAGACACAATTTTTTTTTCATTATGTTTTTTGCTAGAGTAGGCGATTAATAAAGCTGTCTTATTAACTATGTCAGTACCGGCTGTTTGATTTAAGGTCCTGATCTTTGAACAATTGCGAATGCTTATGCTTTGGGTGCTTTTCTCTCTTTTTTGTTCAAATTTCGACAGTCGATAGAGTAGTTTATAACAAAAAATTGTTTAACTCCATTCAAGATAATGAACCTTTATTGACAATTGATCAAAACTATATTTTACCTCCGGTTGTTTTTTTTTAATTCCGGGGATTGGAAAATTGCCAATTTGGCTATGCTCTGGACTAATTTATTCGCAAAGTGAAGATTTCATTTCCGATGCCGAAAGCGAAACGCTAGTTTTGCTCTCGGTCAAGTAAAAAATTTACTGAATTTCGAAAAACATTGAAAACAGGCTTTTACAGAGTAAAATCTTGAATTTGGGCTTAATTTTGTCCATTTGTGTAAATAGACGTTTTTCAACGCCGGATCGAGTAACTTTAAATAGTCTATCATTTTTCGGTGACGTAAAAAAATAGTCAAGCTCATCGCCAAAGAACCAATTTGAAACCAATTGATCTTTCTTTTAATTGTTTTGCAAATGTTTCCACAACAAGAACAACTATAAATGAAATTATAATATACTGGCTACTTTATGCCTTCAAATAATGATTTTTCAAGATTTTACTTGACTAAATTTTTTCCAATAATTGCATCTAGCACTTGTCAAAAGGTTGATCCTTTATTATAAGTAGTCGCACATAAAAAGGCAAAACATGAAGAAAATATTAGTTTTATCGTAAGATACTTGTCAAAACGGTATAAGTATTTAGAAGCTTGAATATACGGATCTTTTTTTCAGACACAATTTTTTTTTCATTATGTTTTTTGCTAGAGTAGGCGATTAATAAAACTGTCTTATTAACTATGTCAGTACCAGCTGTTTGATTTAAGGTCCTGATCTTTGAACAATTGCGAATGCTTATGCTTTGGGTGCTTTTCTCTCTTTTTTGTTCAAATTTCGACAGTCGATAGAGTAGTTTATAACAAAAAATTGTTTAACTCCATGAAAGATAATGAACCTTTATTGACAATTGATCGAAACTATATTTTACCTCCGGTTGTTTTTTTTTAATTCCGGGGATTTGAAAATTGCCAACTTGGCTATGCTCTGGACTAATTTATTCGCAAAGTGAAGATTTAATTTCCGATGCCGAAAGCAAAACGCTAGTTTTTTTACCTGACGACTTGTCCCGAACAACAACATCGTTCCAAAATGAGTCAAGGCAAACTAGTTGGTCATATTAATTTTGTTCCACTCAATTTTTTGCGCTTGAAGTGTGATATTGTCCAAAAGTTATGGGTTTCATAATTTTCACTAGCAGCCACCGATTAAGGGGCAGTCGGTATTCAAGATAGTGGAGGTTATCGTGATCCAGCCTTCCGTGCTCTTCTGTAATTCTTTTTTTAAGTCCGTCGTTTTTCGTTTGATCGAAATACAGTGCTGATTTAAATTAACCGCACAAAACGCGTTTAACTTGAAATTTTAAACGCATTTTTCTCAAATTGGGTTAAGTTTAGGTGAAAAATTATGAAAACAAAACTTGCATAAAATTTTCACAGTAATAATATAGCGCAATTTGTTTTGCGAAGTTCGGACCCAAAATTTTACCCCAAAAATGGGTCATTTTGGCTTTTCTTAGTTAATCAATAACTACGCTGAAAATACCCAGTCGATCACAGACATGATTATATCAAAGTGAGCCACTTACGCAGCCCAACAAACTTTAACAAGAGTATAATCTCGAAAATATTGTATAAGTTAATTCATTTTTGTTTGATAGACAAAAAAGGTCGTTTTTACTATTTAAAATACCAACTTTTTATTTAAAAATATTTTTAAAACAATTTGCAATTTTTTTGGAGAAAATACTCCTAATAAAGTTTGTTGGGCTACGTAAGGGGCTCACTTTGATGTAATTATAACTGTGATCGACTGGGTATTTTCGGCGTAATTTTTGATAACTAAGAAAAGCCAAAATGACCCATTTTTAGGGTAAAACTTTGGGCCCGAATTTGCAAAACAAGTTGCAGCATAGTAATTCTGTTAAAATTTTAAGCAAGTTTTGTCTTCTTAAATTTTCACCTAAATTTAACTCAATTTGAGAAAAACGCATATTAAATTTCTATTTTAACCCGTTTTGTCCAGTTAATTTAAATCAGCACTGCTTATTAAACCGTAAGCCGAGTTTCTTATTTTATCATCTATAAGATACAGTGCTGATTTAAAGTAACCGGACAAAACGCGTTAAACTTGAAATTTAAAACGCTTTTTTCTCAATTTGGGTTAAGTTTAGGTGAAAATTTATGAAAACAAAACTTGCTTAAAATTTTAAAAGAATTATTATGGTGCAATTTGTTTTGCTAACTTCGCACCCAAAGTTTTATTTCAAAAATGTGTCATTTTGGCTTTTCTTAGTTAATAAAAAATAACGCCAAAAATACGCAGTCGATCACAGACATAATTATATCAAAGTGAGCCCCTTACGCAGCCCAACAAACTTTAACAAGGGTATAATCTCGAAAATAATGTATAAGTTAATTCATTTTTGTTTGATAGACAAAAAAGGTCGTTTTTACTGTATAAAATTTTGTTGGGCTACGTAAGGAGCTCACTTTGATGCAATTATAACTGTGATCGACTGAGTATTTTCGGCGTAATTTTTGATAACTAAGAAAAACCAAAATGACCCATTTTTGGGGTAAAATTTTGGGCCCGAATTTCGCAAAACAAATTACAGCATAGTAATTCTGTTAAAATTTTAAGCAAGTTTTGACTTCTTAAATTTTCACCTAAACTCAACCCAATTTGAGAAAAAAGCATTTTAAATTTCAAGTTTAACGCGTTTTCTCCCGTTAACTTAAATCAGCGCTGTACTAAACTGATACGGAGATATGTTTCAAGCTTTTCCAGCTTTTGGTGTTCTTAGCCTCAATTACATGCGTCGTGGTGCTTTGACCGTTTCACAAAAAATAGCAAAAGTTGAAGGTAAAAAGAAAACAAGGTTTTTTTTCCTTTTCAAACAGGAAAGAATTTTTTATGAGGATAACTGTACTCGGAAGACTTTGCTTTACTTGTGCAATAATTGGTCATTCTTTTGTAGTTTCCAGGTTGGAGGTGCGCGACTCAAGTCCAAACTGGCTTTTCTCGAGTTTCGAATTATGGAGAATTATAATCAAAAACGTTTGAAAAAACAACAAATAGGCATAAATAAATTGCTTGAAAAACTACTACGCAAACAGATTAACTCGTATTCTATAATCATTTCGCTTCCAGATTTTATATCTTATAAATACGGAAGATAGGATCCTGTTAAATACTACCCAAGCATGATCCATCTAACTTAATCATATATTAGAATTGTGACACGCCCCTTCAAGCTGACTTGCTTTTTCATTGGCTATAAGTTATTATCAACTATAATCTCGCAGACGAGTATTTTACTATCAGTTATTTAACCGTAAGGAAAATAAGAAAGATTGATATCCGATTATGGACTTAGGTGTAGCACGAACCTATTCAGCGGAAAAAAGATGTTGTGATGTACAGACGGTGTGGTGTATTGATCAGAAGTTAAACAATCAGAGAACAAATAGAATTTGTCTCAGCTGACAAAGTAGATATTCTGAGACTCAACAATGGAAAAAGAGATTGGTAAAAATGAAAACTACTTAGATATGGAGAATTTTTGTGGGAATAAAAGATCCATAGCAAGCATAAAACATAAATAATAAAGTGACAAATGGAATGATTTGATTTCTTATTCAGGTATAAACTATTTGGAGGAAAGTGATTAAACCCACTTTTGAAATGAGACTTCTTGAAGGCGGATCTTGGACTTTTTCAAGGGGGGTGGAGCGAGTTTTCCAAAAATTGTCAAAATTTTGTCTAATTTTTCATAGTTCGATCAAATAATTTTCGTGCTCTCTCAAAACACTTAAGTTACACAATAGTGCATTTTTTTGCATTTCAGGTAAGTTTTTTTTTCAAAAAATAGGACAAAAATAGAACTAAATTTGCCCATAGCTACATTTCATGATGAAGATTCTTGTTTTCATGGCATTTTTGGAAATGATTTTTCCCATGAAAATTAAATCTTGTTGATAAAACCAGCAGATAAATTCTCAATACACAACTCTGTGAAAAGAAATCGCAAAAGAAGCAGTATTATTTGGTAATTAGTTAAAGTCCTCAGAAAGCGCACTTCCAATGTTCCCAGAAACCAATCAATCATCGACGGCAGAGAAAAAGTATATCTTCTTCCACTGTATTGCTGAAGAAAGACTCAACCTGTCATCATCGGACTGACATGAATTGTGAAGGTTACCTCCGCAGGGCCAAGATACGCACACCAGAAACGATCCGTGAAAGTACGATCTTGTTTACCAGCTTCGTGGATACATGAATATGAAGGATTTTAGCTCAATGAAATTGTTTGAAAACATGCTTTATGAACATATTCGAAGATGTTTTGACTTAAATTCTGAAAAATAGTCAACTATCTGAAATCCTCGTTTTTTATGCTTGCGGTTCTGATGATTAGCTAGAGATATTTCGACAAGTATTTCAATAGGATGAGCTGAGCCCAGGGGCGGATCTAGGAATTTCTCGAGGGGGACGGATTTTCAAAAAAAAATGAAAATTTTGTCGACCTTTTTTTAAGGTCGACCAAATTGATTTTCTGAGCTCTCTCAAACCAATATAAAGACCCTAATTTGACCAAATTTTCTGCGCCGCAAGCAAACTTTTGAAAAAAAAAAAACAGACCAGAAAGGTGTTTTTAGGCACTTTTTGGAAAATTTCGACCAAAAACTCGCGTTTTTTCGGCGCGCGCTCCTCCCTCAAAATTAATGTAGATTGGCGCCAAAGGCGCCTTCATGAAAATTTTAAGGTCAGTCAGCCAAAAATGGATATCTCAAAGTAGTACAAAGGGGGACCCTTTGGGTCAGCAGGGGGTCGAATCCCTGAGAAAAAAGCGTCCCCGCCTCCACCCCTGTCCCCCCCCCCCCCCTTAAATCCGCTACTGGCTGAGCCAGTCAATTTTTGTGTTTCCTCTCAGATTTGTAGCAAGCCTTTCTTCTCATTTTTACCGAACTATGATGAAGTGATTGGCGAAATGGCAACGATTGCTGCTCAACAATTTAGCTGACAAATGTGGGCTATAGCTTTTAAATAAGATACATTATCGTTACATCTTGAATTTGGCTGAAAATCTTGCAAGATTTTAAAGGTTGCAAGATCTTGCAGGATAAGGCATCTGCAGACTAATCTAGCTATCGTGATATGTTTGTACAGCTTTTCGCATTCTAAGGTAGCTATCTTGTAAATTTTTGTGGAATCACTCTCAGGGATTCAACTTACTGACCACCCAAAGGGTCTACTTTTAGGTAATCTGTCACCACAACCATTTGTGATCGACGAATTTTAAGATTTTTCTGAAGGCAATATAAACTAAATTTGACCAATTGTGCTCCCAAAAATGCAAATTTGTACCAAAACTGGATTGTCTTCATATTACGAAAAGTTACGAAAATCCATATGGTCAACCTATAAAACAACGTCGAACATTTTGATTTTCTAAACAATACTCCTCCCCCCCCCCCCCGCCCGGCCTCAATAATATCCTAGATTCTCTTCTTGAAAATTATCAAAACCCGTGCCGTCTTGAATTTGACAATTCGGATTTTAAGTCGTGATGATTTTCCAGTGACAAGCTCAAATTTCCCCCGAGACAAGTTCTAATTAAATTTCATGTTTACTAATAGAGAAAGTTATAAATACTTGCTCCTTTATTTAGTTAGGGATTTCATTTAGGTAGTGAAATGAGAAGTAAATGAAAAAATTTGAAGGCTCTATTGCTCTTGTAATTTTTCGCACCAGCGATTATAAATTTATATCCCTTCAATTCTATGTTTACCTGATTATTAAAAATAACTAAGCGTGATAATTAAAACTTTTAAACTCTTTTATGGAATAAAAATAAGTGAAAAACACCCGACCCCTCTTCATTTCAATGTTGACAATAGCTTTTAGAAGGCTTTTAGAAGTTGATCAGTTGATAATTTTAGTTAATAAAGATGATTAGACAGAATTGAGGACAGGTGAAATATCCTTTAATTTTATTGGCTCTCCCATTTCCAAATCAAAAACAAATATAACCTCTCAAAGTACTATTTTACTTCCACTTGAAAAAAGATCCAATTCAACCGACTAATTTTCCCCTTTTAAACCACATAACTCAGTCTAACACTGCTTTAATTGTTCCAATTTTACAAATATTTGCCAAGCTTGAAAAAACTGTTGTTATAACCGGATAAACTTGAAATAGTAGCAGTTTCTTTTACATTTCGTTTGACCCCCCTAAAGAATTAAAGATTAAGAAAAGAATTGAAACTTTTATCAAAAAAATGACGCTTCCGAATTCTGGTCAACTGCCGTTTTTGCCTGGAATGCAACACCTTGGGGCACTTTTTGCAACCAACAGCCAGGCGGCGACGTCGAATATTCCATCTGGATCGCAGTTTAAACCCTCCGATTCCCCCTCTGTCAGCGGACCAATTTTCACCCTTCCCCTTAACCCAAATCAGTCGTCACGTGGTGTTCTGGAAAACGCAGCGGCGGCAATTAGTTTAAACGCGTACAATTTGATGTTTCAGCACCACATGAAACTTTTGCAACAGCAACAAGGAGGTCAAAACTTTGCGGCCGAGAGAAAAATCCTCGAGCAAAGGGAAGCGACAAATCGAATGGGGAAACAAATTCAAAGCAGTCAAGTTAAACCGCCCAAAAAAGGTAAGGTAGATGAGGTATTGAATCAGATGTTGAATCATCCGCCAACGTCACAAATTTGCTTGTGTTTAGGTTTAATTGAAAAGGGCTGAGTTTCAACTTTCAATTAGCTTAAAAAGCCCTTAAAAAGCAGAAAGGCGTATCGAAATTACTGTTCATTAAATTTTTCTTAATTTTACCCATCCTTTAGCTTCATATAGTAATAGCTAGTAGAATGTCCTCATAAATCTTTGTTTCCTTTAGGAATCAGTTTGACACAAAAAGACAAGCCCACCAAAACTGAATCAAAACTTTCACAATCGGCAAAAATGTCTCCAGCAAACGTCGATAGTTGCGAGCCATTGGACTATACAATTGGAAGAAAATCAAACGAAGTCGAGCTGGATTCGAACCTCGACGAAGGGGATATGGAAGTAGATATGTCTCCGGATGATCTGTGTGATCCCAATGACTCAAAGAGGCGTAGAACTAGGACCAACTTCACCAACTGGCAACTGGAACAGCTGGAAATGGCGTTCCACAGAACCCACTATCCGGATGTGTTTGTGAGGGAAACACTGGCCATGCAGTTGAACTTGATGGAAAGCCGAGTTCAGGTTGGTTATTTTAGTCTTACCCGTGATATTCTGCTTCCTTTTCCACTCCCAGTGTTTTTTGAACACTTAAACTGTTTTTATAAAACATTTGCAGAGAATTAAGATATCTTTTTTTTTCAGAAACTCATTGTGCACTGTTTTTACGGCCTATTATTTTGAACTTAAATTTTTGAAACCTACAGATTTTTTTTTGAGAAACCTTATATTGAAAGACTCATGGTCGGGGGTGAACTAGGTTTTTCTCGAAGGGCGGATTTTCGAAAAAAAGTTTTCAATGTTTTTAGGTCAACTAAATTTATTTTCTGAGCTTTCCCAAACCACTATAAAGACCCAACTTTGAAAAATTGTTTGGAAAAAAAGCGTTTTAGGCACTTTTTTGGAAATTCTGAACGCAAAATTGATTTTTTTTGGCACGCTCTCTGCCCTGAAAAAATAATATGTTTGTGTCAGTGAAAAATGTTATGGGGAGACTTTTTGGTTCGGTGTTGGGTCGAATCCCTGAGGAGGCGGCATTCCTACCTAAAACCGCCCCCTGCTCATGCTAGAATCTGCAGTTTGCAGTGGGTCAGGATGGGGAGGGCGAGGAGCAATTTGATATTAAAATTGAAAATTTGGTAAACTGTACAGCTTTAGTTGTAAATCTCTTTAACTGTGCTTGAATGCTTAGCACAGGTTCAATCGAAAAAATCGGAAAAAGAAATAAATCAAACATTTTTGTTAACTTTTATGATATAAACTATTGCAGGTCGAATCACGAACGAAATGATGGCTTGAAATGGCATAGCAATAAAAATTGTGAAACATTCTTGCTTTTTTTCATTTCTTGACAGTTCATTTTTTCTGGAAGCCAACACTACTGAGACATTTGAGGGCCGTCGCCACATTCAGGGCTGGGTCTTGGTACGAGTAGTTGTTTCTCTTAATGTATTTTTTTTTAAAAAAAACATACTGCTCGTATGAGTTCGAAGCCTAGAATATTCTGACTGCCTTTTAAGAACTATGGAGCAGTAATAACCTGAAAAAATTAAATGTAATAAAACAAAATGAAAAGAGAAATTTTTCAAAATTTGAGATTCTTTTGAAACTCATCCCCCACACGCGATATCAAGTACGAAGTGATAGATTTCGCTCCTAGTAACAAATCAATTATGGCAAACAAGCTTCCTTCAACCAATTAGGAACAATTTCTAAGACGGATTAAATCTTCGCTGACGCGTTAATAGCGCGAAATATATCGCGCGTTAATTGTCCCAAATTGGCCTAAATGACATTCTTTGAGCCTCATAACTTTACAGAAACTGATCACAAATTAAATTTTTTTCAAATTTCAGTTCAGGACAGCAATAAGTTTTGAATTATACAAAAAATCCTCAAAAATGGCTAGTTAAAAAGTCAAAATTTGTCTGCAGAAAAAAAAGCCACCCCGAGCATATTTATTCTGTTATTTTGTTACAAAAGTCGGAACAAAAAGAACTCAATGATGCTCGTAAAATGAATTTCAAAATCAACAAGGCATGCTTGTATCGGGAAATGGGGGAACAAGTTAGCCCTTCCTCGTGAAAAAAATATTTATAAAAACTACAGTATTTTGTAGCCCATTTGTTCCGACTTTCGAAGAAAACGGAATATTTATGCTCCGTGTGGGCTTTTAATTCATTCAGTTTTCACAGATCGAAATAATAGTTTTCAACAAACATTTTCTATACCTTATTGAAAATATCGGTTTTCTGAGTTTAAATTTAAAAAGATATTTCACCTCCGATTACTTTTTGTAAAGTTCCGGGGGTTTAAAAATTGCCAAATTGGCCATGTTTCGGACTACATTATGCGCGCTTTGAAGAATTTATTCATACTACTGAGAGCATAACGCAAGTTCTTTGTGCGTAACGAATTATCCCGCAAAACAAAATTGTTCCAAACTGAACTGAGGTTAGTTAACCGGTCCAATTAATTTCATACGACTCAAAATTTCTCGTTTTGATATTGTCCAAAATTTTTAGGTTTTCAATATGAATTAAGGGGCTGTCAGAACATTCGTGGCTTTGCCCTGATATACGATCAGTCTTGTTTATCTACTATGTTAATCTAAAAATTTAGCAAACCTAAGAAAATTGTCGAAACTGAAATATTGCTTCGAATTTCGGGTACGAGCATTGTCAGCAATTTCCAACGGTTACCCTTTTACCTCAAAATTCTTTGTTTTGATAGCCTACTATGTTTCAAGAACAAAAATAACAATATATAAACAAATACAGTGATTAATTTTTCTAGTATGTAAAAAAAGTTGGTGGTAAGTCAGTGAGCTGACGTATCAAGAAATTGAAAGGACGGGTTATGGGCGACTTGATACTTCAAGTTTTTCTGAGCACCTATACAAATAGAGAAATTTATTGTTATTTTTAGATTTCTATAATTCTTAGGTTCATTTTAAGATTCCTGAAATGTCTTTGATGATGCGTGCCCCCTAATTGAGCTCTTAACCAGTTAATGAGTCGAATTAATATTGCATACTAGAGAGCGCTCATTGTTTTTTCATTGAAAGAACTCTCAACCTCATTAGGTAGATTTAAATTTAACTATCTCCCCACAATTCTATTGATTTTTTACGCTTCTCTCAATTGGGCTATAAATTGCTTCGACCAAATAATTTGACAATAATATATCTGCTGATTAATTGTTCTAACATTTACACCTTTTTGTTTTGAACACTTTTGTGTTTGTATTTCTTCTTTTTTTGTGGAAACAATTGGTAGTTATAATTAGTCGTGGATTTTTAATGGGACTTTCTGTTTAATGAATTTAAAATTACCTGGCTAGATTTAACTGACGCTTAAATCTAAGCTTTGAATTCCACTTTTTGTCCATTTTCCGCTTTTACCTCCCTTGAGACCGAGCAAAGCGAATTAGCGGCTAATAGAATAGATAATTAAAGGATTTAAAACAATTATTCCCAAAAATAGGCAATTTAACTAGACCGTGAAAGCACCTTTGTATGCGTGACGTAAATCGAAAATATCCAGAGAAAAATAATAAAAATTATTTATATATTTTTTTATTTCAGGTAATAATTAATTTCTTATCCGATATTGGATGCATTTTGCAATAAGGATACTTTATGTAGACCTTATATCTTTCCTTGAGATGTTGCCATACTTGTTTTTGCCAAAGAGGATCAAAAAGTTATGTGCAGGTTGCAATGATTTACGAAAATCATCAAAGTGTATGCTGCCAAAAACTTGTTAAGTCGGGGGGGGGGGGGGAGGGATAGTTAACAAGGTACAAAATTCGTATATAGGGGATAGTTGACAATATCAGTTAAAAAGTTTGTTGTAATTATTTGTTGATGTCGTGTATTATTTTTGTTCACAGGTGTGGTTCCAGAACAGACGGGCCAAGTGGAGGAAGATGGAGAACACCCGCAAGGGGCCGGGCAGACCCCCTCACAATGCACACCCACTCACCTGCAGGTAAACATAATAAAAAAACATTACATTCACAACTCCATACTCACTTTAAAAATGCATTTCTTCAGTTTCTTCAGAAAAATATTTCTTTAGTTTCTTCAGCGGAATTAAGTCAAATTGAAAAAGATATAGAATTTGAAAATTTGAGTGGGAGCCAGCAAGGCGTCATCCCATGCGCAGGGGGGGGGTCTATGATTTTTCGAGGTGAAAGATGTGGGGGGATGAAGACCCTATTTTGACAAAATGTTCAGCGCCGCAGGAGGCGAAGTTGGTCAGCCTAAAATGGGATGCTGTAAACAAAACTAAAAGGGGGACCCTTTGAGTGGCAAGGGGGTCAAACTTTTGGAGGGGGGAGTACAGTCTATAAAATTGCATCACACAGCACGAGTGTATTTAGGTATAAATCAAACGCACAGCGCCTAGGTACAATATTAATGATGGAAAACTTAACTTTGTTTTTTTTTGTAGTGGTGAGCCGATCGTCAGTACCAATTCGGGCTCAAATCAAGGAGCCAAACATCAAAATCAACATCTATCTCCAACAGAGACCCAAAAACAAAACAAGGCACTTGTAATGTCCAAAAGCATTCTGACTTCAAAGGAATCCAAAATATTCCAAAAAGAAGAGTCAAAACCGATGCCTGGCGTTTGTATGGCCAACCCAAAATTTCAAATCTTTGGTGACAAATTTTCGTTTGTGGGACCCGGTGAGTCGAACTCCACTGATGTGAAAAAAGGCGACAGACTAACACTTTTCGAAAGCACCGTTGATATGATAACCAAAAGATGTGCGCAGCAGAGCTTCGACAACAACTTGAGGTTCGTTTCGCCGACTTTCCTGAAAAGTTCGACAAGTCCTAATATGGAAAAAATTAACTATCATGAATGCGATGATCAAAAGAAGAGCTTCAGAATTGACAGTTTGCTCGATCTGTAAATTTACAGCCACTCAAAAAACTCAAGACAGAATTAAATGTTTATTTTTTAATTTACCCTTCAATATTTAGAACCCAACTTCCCCTCAGCAATCACAACTGCTTGATTTGACTTCAATGAAATTTTCGATCGAATTATAATCTTTCATATAATTTAATGTATATAGATATCGTTGTTTTTCATCATTTTTCTTACTCGAAACATTGATTTTAATCGACTTAAAGTTTCAAAGACGTCCAAAAAAGGCAACTGGTAGTAATTCTCAAAGACTTTTGCGAGGACGTTAATCAAAGGTTAATCCTATTAGTTGAAATCAATTCCTGATTAAGTGAGCCTTGTAGCCAATGATGTGCACGTGTTCATTAGTTGAGGAACAAAAACTAATCAAGATTTGTTCAGATGAAATTTGCGAGATTGCTGCGGATAAGGAGATGAGCTTAAACTGTTAATATTGAGCAAATAGGAAAATGCAAGGGGTGCAAATGAAAATTTGATTGAATTAAAACATCATCCTGCGTGCAGTTCTAATTAAATTTTAAATATTCACGAATAAAGCAATTACAATTTTCCACCACTGTTTATCTGGAAAACGCAATCTGTACACAGATGATTATCATTATAAAATAGCCCCCAAAACAAAAAAAATCCAACTCAGAATCATATTAAATGCCATTTATATTCATATAAACCATCAACAAAATAAGCTTCCGAAAAAAATTCTGTTTTTTTGTATGATCAATGTAATAAAATAACATGATTAAATGCTCTAATGAATAAACGGTTTGCTATGACTATAAAAAACATAACATTTTGATTTATTTTTCATAATTATCTTAATATCGAAATTTGAAAATCATTATCTGAGAAAGTAAAAACTAATTCATAAATAAAAAAAATTTTGTGCCTCTAAGCCTGTTATGTTAATTTTTTGGAGGGGTGATCTAAGCAGATTGCTCTAAAAGCAGTTTGCTTCCAAGAGTAGAAACAGGTTTTTAAAAAAAAGCATATTTAGAAGACTATTTTTTATACCGCTTTCAAATGGTTGCCATGAATAGTATTTAGCATATAAGTTCCTTCCATCTGCACCCCAACTGTTAAAAGCCAGTGGCAATGGTTTTGACTCCATCAAAACTTTAGAACTATTCAAACGAAATGAATGTCTCCCACCGGGAACTTGTCTACATTTTTGAGCTAGCAAGGGTGATCATGACGCTACATTCTGACTATTTTGCCTCTTGAATGTACGCACCGGGACAACATTAACTTGACTTGGCGGCTCAGGCATTGGCCTCGCGTTGACGCACAAATATCGGTGCTTCACATAACAGTGTTTAGCCTTTCGAGTCACACACCCACTTAAGCGTAACCATTTGGTTGTTAAGTCATCAACTGATGTTTTTTGGGTAATTTTTTAACAGGTGAAACTTCTGATTGCCTGAATAACGTAAGCAAATAAGAATCTGTAGTTTGAATTCTAGTTATAGTTACGAGTTCATTTTGTTTTGATCAATCAGATTGCGTTTTTTTCTGCTTTTTCACGTCTTAAATGACACATTTATTCACTATTCTCGATCTATTTTAGTTAACTCGCTGGCGCTGCCAAATAGTCTAGCATAGCAATTGAAAAAAAGGTAATACAAATTGTTAATTTGAGAGCTGAACAAATCAGATTATAGAATGCTTATAAGATTTGCAACATTAAAAATTTTGATCCAATCATGAATCATTAAAAAAGAATCATAGCATCAACATAACGGTATCCCAAGTCAAAAACAGAATAAGTTCTTAAGTTCAGTTTCTTTATTGCAAATTTGAAACATTTATCGAAGCAACAAAACTTCTGTTCTGGTCAAATATCACATTACAAAAATGAAGCAGAAAGCAGTTGGAGTTGATAACAAAAGTCGGGATATATCTCATTTGAGTCGCGCCAAGTCTTATTTTGCGGTCGCATCATTGTGGGTCGCAGCGGTTACGATGAAAGTTTACAGGAACTTTGGCACTTTTTTTCGCTCCAACCGACAAGTAATTTTGTTGTTTCCATTGTCTGAATAGTACAAAAAACGATAAGCGGACTAAAAAGACATTAAAGTAAGTTTTGATTTTCTTTTTTAACCTTGTAAAACCTCCACTTGACAAAAAATTGATGCTAATAAAAAGTGATGGAGGAAAAAAACGAGCAACACATTTTTTGCTGCCAATCAAATTGTCAACGGAAGTTTCGAAAAATTTCCCTAAAACCCCATTGAGTGATCAGCAATGCCGGTAGTGTTTTAGAGAGCAGTACCTAGTCATTTTTCGCACCACTCGTGTTTACCAAAACTTATACAATTCACTTAACTGAAAAACCTCTTGACATACGATTCCATATAATTCTATGCAAAATATTTATGAAATTCTGATATAAATTTTCCCATAGATGAAAGTTATATAAGAAGCATTTCTACATGAATAAAAAAATAATGTTCAATTTTTGTCCAAAAACACAAGCTTGTTTTCTATCTTTTGGAATACTGGTTTGCAATTTCAGTTTAAAAAAATTGTAAGTATTTGGATGTTTGTAGATGTTTTGGATTGGAGATGTTTTTTCTTGACTCCAAATTGCCGCGGGACAATTTTTTTTCGTCCGTGCTCGAGGTATGTTCCAACTGTGTTCGACCATGCTCGACTGTATTACAATTGACCTAATTGAAAAATGTCTTCACATACAATTCTAAATATGGATGACATACGTTTTCAAAATATACAAAAAGTTCTGATAAAACTTTTCTCACAAATGAAAATTGTATAACAAACATTTTTCCATAACCATAAAAGTAATGTCCAAACTAAGTCCAAAAACACAATGATCAAAATATTTTTCTCAACAAAAATTTGTTAAAAGCTGAAATTTTGCAGAAAAACTGCATTTTGAAAACTCTTTTTGTAATAACAGAAAAAAAAACCATTTTCACCCGAATTATTGCCATAACTGTAATTTTTAATTTTTGCTTAAAAATTTTCCCAAAAAGTAAGAGACTGGAATCAAGCTATGTTTTTGAAACAGGCAGGGGCGGATCTAGGATTTTCTCGAGGTGGGGGGGGGGCGGATTTTCAAAAAGAAATCGAAAATTTTGACGACTTTTTTTTAGGTCAACCAAATTGATTTTTTGAGCTCTCCCAAAGCACTAATTTGCCCCTATTTTGGCAAAATTTTCTGCGCCGCAGGCAAATTTTTGAAAAAAAAAACAGGAAAAAAAGGCGTTTTTAGGCACTTTTTGGAAAATTTTGACCAAAAAATTGCGTTTTTTCGGCGCGCGCTTCCCCCTCAAAATTAGTATATTGGCGCCAAAGGCGCCTTTACAAAAATTTTAGGGTCGGTCGGCCAAAAATGGATTTCTTAAAAAGTATCAAAGGGGGGACCCTTTGGGTCGGCAGGGTGTCGAATCCCTGAAGAGGGAGTGTCCGCCCCCCGCCCCCCCCCCCCCTAAATCCGCCCCTGGAAACAGGTCAATTTTTTTTAAACCATGTAAAAATAAAAACACATAGTTCGCACAAAATATTTGTTGTCACTTTTAATTTTTTTGTACACATTTTTGTCTGAGCCTCGTTATAGAAAAAAAAACATACAATTTCTGCTAACAATTTTTTTTTCGGAATATTTTTGTTGAACAGAGAAGTTAGCTTACGACTAAAATAAAAAGAGAAAACTGTGTGCTTTAATATTTGCAACCACTTTATATAAAGCAATTTTATTTGGAAATTTTATGATGCCATTTTTTTCCATAAACTCATGGTAACGAATTTAACAAAAGCTCATTTTTTTGTATCGAGGTGTATTATAAACAATTTTTTTTGCCGTTTGTAGATCAACCAAGGCATCTGATGGGTGATTTCCAGTCTATTTAACAGCCACTTAAAACATACAGCAGTTCAAATCTAAACCTAAACTGAGGATGGGTGATGCGCTGAAACTCAATTGAATTATCCATTTATTCATCAGAACTTGCATGAAGTCATCAGAATTTTTGGCATTAACTGATGCTAGTTAAGTGTAGGAAAACTGGAGATAAAAAAGACTGGTGTATTCAAAATTTACTCAAAATAATATTCAAAATTTACCCGGGTCAAGGTGCTCACTTTATATTGCAACCGTTTCGACAGAAAATTGGTATGTTTTGACCATCTCGACCAAAATTCGGTATGTCTCGACCGTGCTTGACCAAATGTCGGTATGTTTCGAACGTTCTCGACCGAAAAAAATGTGCTGCTCGACCGTGCTTGACCCAGACAAGATATGTTGTGACCGTGCCGGACCGAAAAAAAATATGCTCGTCCGTGCTCGACCCAATCACGTTATGTTTCGACCGTGCTCGACCGAATTTGGGCATGTTTCGACTTTGATACAACATGAATCATCCAATTTTAAACAATGTTATGTTTGCTTTTTGACTAATATCTTATGATGATTTTTTAATCAAAATGAAATGATTAGAGTTATTTTCAATTTAAATGCCGTCTAGCGATGAACTATTTTTGAGCTCTTTTTTCTATCTTTTGGATTACTGGTTTGCAATTTCAGTTAAAAAAATTGTAAATATTTGGATGTTTGTAGATGTTTTGGGTTGTAGATGTTTCTTCTGGACTTTTTTTTTCGTCCGTGCTCGAGGTATGTTCCGACCGTGTTCGACCATGCTCGAATTGACCTAATTGAAAAATGTCTTCACATACAATTCTATATATGGGTTACATACGGTTTCAAAATATACAAGATATTCTGATATAACTTTTCCCACAAATGAAAATTGTATAACAAACATTTTTCCATAATCAAAAAAGTAATGTCCAAACTTGGTCCAAAAACACAATGATCAAAATGTTTTTCAAAACAAAAATTTGTTAAAAGCTGAAATTTTGCAGAAAAATTGCAAATTGAAAATTCTTTTTTTGTGTAGTATGAGAAAAAGCAACATTTTCACCCGAACTATTGATTAAAAGTAATATTTTGTTTAAAAGTTTTCCCAAAAAATTAGGGGCTGGAATCAAGACATGTTTTAAAACCATGTGAAAAGAAATTTTTTTGTTCAGGCAAAACATTCGTTGTCACTTTTGATTCATTTTTGCAAACATTTCTGTCTGAGCC